CTGGCTGTTCATGCAGAAAAGCAACATAAAGCACCTGTTTTATATTGTATATAAAAATTCATTGCACATGAATTAGAAATAAATGTATTTATTTATTGAGACAGGGTCTTACTGTGTATGTAGTTCAGGGTAGCCTTAAATTTGCTATGATCCTCCTGCCTCAGCCTCTTGAGTGATGGGATTACAGGTGTGTGCTACCACTCCTGAGGTTGTGTATTTTTTAAAATTAATAGACATTTGAAAGATAAAACTGTAACTAGGGCCGGGGAGATGGCTCAATAGAATAAGCGCTTGCCTGGCAAGCACAAGGGCCTGAGTTCAATCCCCAGTTCCATGAAAAAAAAAAACCCAAAACCTATAATTAATTTGATTATAAGCCTAATTGGCTTTGATTTGTGATTCCTGAGTTGGGCAACCTCTACCGCACAGAACAGAGTGAGAATTGCCCCAACAGGAGCTGACAGTGGATTTGGGAATAAGATAATAAGGAGATGGAAGAGTGGAAAGGCTGGGTTGGTTAGGATCAGGTTCCTTCAGGGGACTTTCTGTAAGTGTTAAAGCAGAGTGAACTTCCTTAATACACTGACTCAGTTAGACTGGGGTCTCTGTTTTCCTGAAAGTTGGCCCATGGTAGGGGCTGTGGCTTCCTTAGCATTTCAGCATGATGATGTGGCATCTGGCACAACGCGTCCATCTAGGTTGATCTGGTCTGCAGCTGGGATGGCTCAGCCCAAATCGGTGGCCTCCCAATCCATTTAACAGCTTTGCTTTCTGTCTGTCTGTCTGTCTGTCTGTCTGTCTGTCTGTCTGTCTGTCTATCTGTCTCTCTCCCTCTCTCTCCCTTTTTTCTGTTTTGTTTTACTTTCTGAGACAGGATCTTGCTATGTAGTTTAGGCTGACCTAGAACTCACAGTGAAGGCCAGCCTAGCCTTGGGTTTGAATTGATCTTCCTGCCTCAGCCTTCTGAGTGCTGGGAAGACAGGCATGCGCCACCAGATCTGCGTAACGGGACTTTTCTGAGAGGAGCAGTTTTAGGTTTACAGGAAAATTGAGCAGAATGTACAGAGAATTCCCATATGACCCAGTCCCATACCAGTTTACCTATGTTAATGTCTTGTGTTATACATACTGTGTTACATTTTGTTATAACTGATGAACCAGTATTCTTATTCATTTATTTTTGGCTTTTTTGAGACAGATGTTTCCCTGTGTAGTTCAGGCTGGCTTTGAACTCACTTTGTACCCCATGTTGGCTTTGAACTTGCAATGATCCTCTTGCCTCAGCCTCCCAAGGGCTGGAATTACAGGCAAGTGCCACCATGGCTGGCTCATGTGTACTTATTAA